GGATGCGTTTAAAATTATCTACAAGGTACCCCCAAACCCCTCCAAAACCCTCCAACAGCACCATCTTGCCACAGCAGAGGCGGTAGCAATAAGGTTATTGTGACCAACTCTATGCTCACAAAAACAATTCGTCAAAGCCCTACAGTTACCCTGACCCAGACCCGACACTCAGCGTCAATTAACCTATGACCGTCGTGTCGACACTAATCACATTGTAAACGTAACCGANAATTTATTATGATTTTTTTTATTACACACATTTGTGTGGTGAACAGCAGACGGGGCAAACCACGTAGTCACGAAGACTTGCAGCTCCGCCATGGAAACCGGTAACCTAAGCCGAGACTTGAAGTGGCGAACCACATGAAGCCCCGATAGGTTAGGCGTGGTATTGAACCGGACGACGAATAAGCATCGACGTTTCGTTCTGTAGCCGTTGATCCATACTGAATCATCCAGAGGTACAGCGCAGTCGGCTACTTACCAGGATCCAGTCGAGGAATGAACGCTCGGTTTTGAAGCTCAGCGTAATCCCAACACCAGCAACATCGCAACCTTCTGATGCCGAATCGCCTGACACGAGGGCTGAATTGTGAGGATGAGGTTGGATCTGGAGAACGCAGGCAGATGATTAGAGTAGCGTCTTGCATGCGTGTTTCGGAGACACAGCAAACATCTAAATGGAAGGTTTTCAAGGGTTCCAGCTAAAGCGGCTGGTTGACCGATCTGGTAGAATGTGCAGACATAAAATGCGGCTAAGTGAAAAGGAGATTTTGGTTTCTAAGATCTGATACGTTCTGAGTGTTACATTTCATTAGTTGAACGCGGAGTGACATCCCATGGGGTGCATCTCCTAAAGTATAAGAGTGAGAAGAGGAAGTGGATAGATGAAAAAGGTGGTTCTCCAAATGGGCACCCAAGACTTCGGGGTACGGCATTATTCGCAGTAGCCCACACAGACAAAGGGGTTTTTCTTTGGGAACCCTAACCGGAGCCTTCGACTCAAAAGTCTGACCCACAAGGTAGTGGGGCGTAAATCCGATGCGGGAGCGTGAACGAAGCTTCCGGAGACCTGTCACGCAGGGCCTTTGGGTTTTGGTTAAGTTTGTTCTTCACCCGTACGTTGGTTGACGGTCCGCTTTTCGAGATCTGCCCTTAGCCTCTTGCGCCCTATTGGACAAGCGGAACGTGGACGGGACAGCACTTTATTGGCTGGAGGCTGCCAGCTTGAGCGGACGGTAGCTGTCCACTGAAGTGTGAAGACTTCTACCGTTAGGAGGAAGCCCCAAGTACCCCGCTCTTACGTCTATCTAGCGGGGATTTCGTGACCGATAAACCATCCCACCTCGTGTTCTTTTGCTGTAGTGACCTCTCCAGGGGTGGGATCGGATAGTCAAAGGAAGCCAGGAGGTACCCAAGTAGCTGGCTTTGTGAGACTGAGCTTCGTCTGGCCTCTACCCATTGACCTTTCAGGCATAGTTGGATCTGCGGCTGTGAGGAGCCATCCTGTATAACTCGCAGGGTAATGGAGGCACGCATGCCATCACACCACGTCAAGGTGGTCTCGTCGTGAGGATGACGTTAGTTAGAAACGGAGCAGTCGTTTGTTCAACACTACTTCCTAAAACAGTTAGAATATACCACTTTGAAAGCCATATCCTATTTAGCTACTTGCATAGGAAGTATCTTTAAGTGTAGTTTGTTTTTCATGTTCTCTTCATCACGAAAGGACAATAAGGCGAGATTTTAACACGAATACTCACTTTTGTTGTTCGATAACGCATTAACTCGAATTCTCCATCTGGCGGGACAAACGATATTGTGTGTTCCGTATCGAAACGACCAAGCTTAACGCATTGATGAAATTGGCAATCATCAATTGCGATGCCTCCACTGGTGTTCACCGCACTGTGTAAATGCATTCAAAATAAAAGTTGAGCACATCTTATAAGTTACATTAAAATCAACGTACATCAACATCCTCCTCGATTAATGCCAATACATAACCGGGGGCAAATTAATTAAACTTATAATACAAAAATAACCGTGCGGAACATGAACATTAAGACAACAAAAGCCACATAGTAGTGACCACAAAACGCTAGCTTGGATGATCTCACTTTACTTTCCTGCGGTTGGCTCCTAGGAAAGGATAAGCCGGCTACAGACATGACCATGATCAAGATTATGGAGTTCCTTGGGAGTATGGTACGGGAGACGTCCCCAGCGTCACTCGGCATTTTCTAATTTTGAGGGTGCACCTTTGCGAACTGCAAGTTAGCAGGAAGTAATCCCTCACCTCGGAAGTGAGGGGGTCAATGATTTTAGTATTAAAAGGCCAGCCACGTCAACCTTTGTCACAACACCGTCATTGGACTTATGCGGCTTTCTAAACAGGAGACAGGTAACCAGCCTGAAACCCATCACATCCTGGTAGTGCCGCCGCTGTTTGTTCGCGACTGCTTATTTGTTGCGGTATGCCACAACTTATTCACAGCTAACCTTCTTCGGTGAAGGTATCCCTCTATTCCGGGGATGCACCTGGTAGCTTTCAGTTATACTTAACCCGAGGAATGATCTCAGACCAACTCACTAGAACTAACAGGATAAACAAGCGCTCTAACATGAGGAATGTTCCAGTGTAAATAGAGAACACGAGTAAACCAAAGTAAACATACAATTTATTTACATGGAGATTATTGGCCTCTGGGGATTTCCAAAATGCAAGGCTTGCAATGCTGAGATCGCGAAATATGTATAGCACTAACTAGTGAAGATGCCGGTTCTTTTTTAAGTTTTAGTACACATTTGCATTCAATAAGTCTACATGTCTCAGTAATCGTACAGAGAAAACGGGTTGGTTTTGAATACCTGTCGTCACCGGCCGGGGCGCGTTGCTTGTTCTCCAGGCTCACTTTGTCGTTGAAGCCAAATTTACACTCGGGCATTCCACTGAGATAGGACTTCATGATAACTCGACCAGCAACATGGGCAGAAAGAACTTGGCCTATATGCAGAACATTAAAAGGTAGCATCAAAGAGTTGGTCAGCATGCATAGTTATCGCAAGCACCAAAAGAGTTGTACCAAACAGATACGTATTCAAACTGAAATCATAAAAGCAGTGCTTGTTAAATAAATGCGATCAAGTGCTCACCGATCAAAATCTCACCCCCATTGTGTACCTATGGCAACCTGTTTAGTTCGGTTCAGTGCGCACCATCGTTAACCTAGCACTTTCATACGGTGGTACAATCCGCATTCAATACTACGGATTATGGCCAGAAACTCAATAAAACCCTAAAGAAATCAGAAAAAACGCAAACAGACACTTCTTACCCCATATGTTAGTGTATTATGAAAGACATTTTCAACCAACGCCACCCGTTGTTCTCCTCTCAATACAATCAACTGCATGTGTTGTGACACTTATTTTTACAGCTGCATTCCCAGCTTACGTGAAATAATAATAAGTAATAGTATTAATAATAATAACAATACAATGATGCCGCAGGGGGGGCACATTCGGAATAGGACTGATTTGTTTGCTCCGCTCTTGAAATGGGTAATCGCAAAACTTTTTTACATCAGCAAGACCAGTTCTTAGAACCCATTTAAATTCCGATTGATTTCTTGGTAGGAAACAATCGTTTCCATTGAGTTAAAACATCAAATTCTTTTTGCCCATCACGAGTGAAGACAAAACTGGTTTTCACAAACAGTTTGCTTCATTAGAAGAGAATCTCTTATTGTTTTTCTTATTGTCTCCAGTATACTAACTTCAATTCTATAACTTTCGTTTTGGGCACCAGTTAAATGTACAAGTCTTCGGACGATCATATCATAAACGTGGGACGCCATAGCGGTGTACTCCTGTTGGTCTCCAATTGACGTTCATGTGATGAACAAAGCGAGGTAATCACGACAACAGTTTTCACCAAACATATGTTTTAAGAGGCCAAAGAAAATTTAAATGAAAAACATGATTTAAATAAATAAATAAGAGAAAAAAGATCAAAAATAAAAGATCTACTGCACACCGGGCACGAAAAGTCCACCACGCTCTCATACATCGTACACCTCACAGCATGCACCCGAATATATCTCAGCAAACCACTCACCATTGCAACACACAAATGCATACAAGAAACAAACATCGCACAAAAAGTGACACGATGTTCCCCTTGCTGGTCAGCGTTGACTGTGCTACAACTGCCGGTCTCTAAATTGAGTGCGAAAGTGAAACCCCACAATGGTACTGCTAGTTCGTATTTCTACCGCCCCTCCCTCTGTAAACCTTTTTAGATATAAAGCTAACAGTATCACCTGAAGTAAACCCCCGGGGTAGCTATCCGAAACTAGAGAATGTAAACTAACCATCATAATCCACGGAAATAATTTTCACGTCGTAGCATCAGAGGAAGTCCCAAATCTTACTGGTGTATGAACCTGGACGCACATTAGGCGAAAGCCTGTTTTCGTCCTAGAAACATGACCTGACCTGACTAGATTATGAATGCCGCTAATGAAAATTTAATCCGTATGATTCAGAATTTCTGATGTAAATGTTACAAGTTTCCTCTCAACGCTTGGGACTTCCTCACGTACCATTGATTACGCTGACAACAACGGTGCCCACCTAAGAGCCTAATGCGACCTACAAGTCTTTCGCTGACTACCGACGACGGCGCCAGTTTTCGAAGTTGGCAACTGCTAACCT